GATGATTAGTAAATGAATTGGTTGTAAGTCGAGGACCACCTGTATGGAGCTGAACTTATATGAACTCAGATTAATTTCTTTAATTTAAAAACAATATTTTAGTTCACAAAATTAGAAAAGCACACTGTAGAAAAAATATAAATGATTTTGGGAAAAGAGTTGATTATTTAATCAAGATGTCCTTTTATTTCTGAGTTATTAGAAAACCAGACTACCAATTTTTAAAACGTTTTTCACTTACCACCAATATCATGTGAATAAAAAACATTTATTATGCAAATATGTATTGCAAATAGATGTCAAAGGAGTTGTATTATTAAATTTCTGCACTTTGCTCACCTCTCCATATTTTTCCCTAGAATAACAATGTATTTCTGTTCCTGCTATAATAATTTTCCTCCTATGCAAACAACATTCATTTATGGAAAATAATTCCATTTGTATCTATACTATTGATTTTCATAATTCATAGTAAACAAGGCACCTAAGTTTGCTTGAGAGAGAGGCTTAATGGAAGAGTTATTCAAGTAACATGTATGTAACATGAATGTAATGGAAGGGAGGGAGGAAGGGAGGGAAGGAGGGAGGGAGGGAGGGAGGGAGGGAGGGAGGAAGGAAGGAAGGAAGGAAGGAAGGCTGGTTATTGATTTTGAGCAAAGTTACTGAAAATGGACAGCCCTCATAATGCCCCGCCTGAAAACAGCAGGCTGCTGAATCTCCTGAGAATCTTCAGAATAGTTCGTTGTTGCTCTTTCACTAGACCTTCTGTTGCCAATCTCCCAGTTGGCTTTCTTTGTTGCAGAAAGCCGCAGAAGGTTTGCCAAGATGAAAACATTATTTCCACTGCCCTTGCAAATGTACCACATATCATAAATGCAGGCTATCTCAATTTTATGGGAAACTTGGAGAAGGGGGGGGGAGAGAAATTAAACAGGGAAACTACCAAGGAAGTTGTTTCAAAAGAAGTGATTTAATCCAATTTCATCCAAACTAAGAAATGCCTTTGAAAATAAATAGAGAAATGTCAACATTAATCCCGTAAATCTTGAGAGAGGAATTAAAAAAAGGGGGGATAACTTTGCTCTGATAATATTTATAGTACCGAATATCTGCAGAAGGAAAGATAAGATCTAAAAGTCCTGCTAGTTCAGACCGCAGGGTTATTAAATGCACCATTCCCTTTCCACTGAGGTTACCAGATGCTGTGTTCCCAACATGTCATTCAAAGATTCAGGTGTGGTCCTCAGTAGAAATTAGGCAGTTTTGATTTACCCTAATTGAGAGCAGCTTTCCAGGCTTTCAGACTAAAGACTTGCTTAGGGGTGTCTGAGATGTTTTTGTAATCCTCCCTCATTGTTCGACTCAAGCAATGTTTCCCTTTTTGTTGCTTTGGTAACTGATCTTCTCCCTTTTCATCAAGGGTCATCTTTACTCTCTACAAATCATTGAGCATGCCAGTATTTCCATCTTGTTCAAACATTGTATTTTATCTTTCAGCTATTCAAGGAAAATGATTAGTGACTTATTTTCTTTCCCTCAATATTGCCACCAGATTGCTCTGAAAAACTACACACAAAAAATTCCTTTGGAAACATAATTCATCACAAATATCCAGCCGCAGGTAGATCTGCATCATCTGACTTAAAGCAACACCCTCTGATTTAAAAACAAAATGCTAAGCAAAATCTAATTGGGATAAAACCTGATTGATAGACCAAGGCTTTGGACTAGAATGGGAAGTTGAAAAAAGCTCACAGAACATGGCAGGAGTGAACAGATTCCATACTGAGACTATGAAGTGAACATGGATATTTTCATGTAATTGCTATGAGTTAATCTCAGATCAAGAGAGTGTTTACCTTTTTACTTCCCACATGCTGCAACTTCTTAGTACACTACTTTATAATCACCACACTTTTACAATCCTCACCCTTTCAATTATGAAGGAGCACATCCCTCAAGACTCATGATGAGGAATACGACATTTCTACTCAAATTGGTTCCTATTTCTCTGCAGCTGTTGATCTCCTTGGAGCTTTTAGATGCCTTATGGCTAGCAACCACCAACTCAAGGGACTACATTTACTGGGAGCAACTGATGAGCTGACTAACACTGCTATTTCAGTGAGCTTTCTCTAGGGATTGACAACTCCAATCCGAGTGATTTGCTAGTAATGAGAATCCCTGTTTGTAAAGGTATAAACCTTTACTGGTGGGAAATTGGAGAGCTCTATCTCTTTTTTGGTTCAAGGGATAATGTCCTCTTGACCTTACAATCATGCTCACATGACTCCCCATCCCCATTCATGAACTATGAGAATTGATAGTTTTAATAGGGTCTGCTACTTGTCTCTAGCAAGCTTGCTGTTTATTAAATCCACTCACAACAATGCTGTTAACTAAGAAACATCATCAATACATAAATGTAAGGAGAAAATGTGCAAATTTGTGAACAATTTTAAATTTGGATTAAGTGAAAGGCTGAAGTGATGTGTATAACATTTTAGAGGAGGGATTTTTAAGGTTGTAATTATCTGCTGATGAGAAGGTCAGAAGTCATATTTTATAACCTTTCTTCTTTCTTTTCCTTAGGCTTGTCTTTTACTTTATGTAAAATTCTTAAAAAACATAAATAATTTTTAAAAAAGAATGTCAGTCAAAGCACCAAGATGCATACTGAGAATATTAAACCATGTGTACTTTAGGGAATGCTTAGTCAATGAATTGTCCAAATGATCCAAGGTTGTAAATTAGGGTCTATGTTGTATGTGCGTGTTAAATGGTTAAATTTTTCACACAACTTACAATCAACAGGCAGAAACCCTGCATGGAAAGAGGCAACCCAACTTTGATACTATATGCAAACCATAAGCAGTAACACATTGCCATCAACACGCTTGAAGATCAACTTATCAGGATGCAACAGAAAAAGAACACAAAAGTATATGGACTTTGTCCTCATCCAAGAAAGCAAACCCCAATAATTGATAATAAAACTTTTCCAGATGCTTCAATTGCAAACCTAACATCATTTTAGAAGGATGCAACTCCAATACAAATGTGTCTTAGGGAAAGCATTTTGCTGTGATCAAAAACCACAGAGTAGGTCTTTCAAAGCCTCCTTTCTTAGGCAGTTTATTATTACAACAAGGCTTTGCACACTAATATGAGTCATACAACAAAAGATGTAAAAATGATACGTTATAACTATGAAATCCCCAAACCACTGAGAAAACTCAAGTTACTAACAAAAAAACACTACAGGATGAGAAAAAATAGTCATGAGGGTAAGTTCTCCAAAAATGACTAAGCCTCCTTTGAGGTGCTAGAATGGAGGCTGCACCACAGGTCTCGACTCATTGAAGGGCGAGGACCTGTAAATGTTTGTATCATCCTCCTACCTCAAGGGAAGATAAACTGGAATATTTAAGAAGAGGTTCGCCTGCAAGAAAGCCAAGGATATTCTCCCCATGGAAAACATGACGGGAGAGTACAATAGACTTCCTGTATTGTTTAGATACTATATGTTTAATGGAAATCCCTCTTCCCAACTCCCACCCCCTTTTTTTTCCTCTTGAATTGTGGCTTATCCCAAAGTCTTTTGGAATGCTACGTGGAATTATAAGATGCATTTCACAGTGAGAATTAGAAAACTCCCATTTTTTAGTATCAGGCAATCTTAGAGACATGCGCACAAAATCATACCGAGCCATCTGTTTTGGAAGAATGCTGATACACTTGGGCATTCTTTTATATGTCAATGAGTTTGCAACATCTCTCTGTTAATGGTGCGATATGAAGTTTATCTTCAAGTCATAAGACAGTCCCAGATAAATAAGTATGCGTAGCACAGGATCAAAGGCCAAGCCCTTACATTGATTAATTAAGGATTAAATGACAGGAAGTAAAGAGGGTGGTGTTTGCCTTTGGCAAGAGGTTAGCATGTTTTCCAGTTTTATAGGCAGTCCCTGAATTAAGAACAAATTATGTTCCCTAACTCTGTCTTTAACCCAACTTTGTATTTAACTCAGAACTTGTACAAGTAGTCCTTGACTTACAACAGTTCATTTAGTGACCGTTCAAAGTTACAATGGCACTGAAAAAAGTGAACTTATGACTTTTTTTTCACAGTTACGACTATTGAAGCATTCCCATGGTCACATAGCCAAAATTCGGATGCTTGGCCACTGGCATGTATAACGGTTGCAATATCCTGGGCTCATGTGATCACCTTTTGCAAATTTCTGACAAGCAAAGTCAATGGGGAAGACACAGCCACTTAACAACCATGTTAGCTAACTTAACAACTGCAGTGATTCATGTAACCGCCGTGGCAAGAAAGGTTGTAAAATCAAACTTCACTTAGCGACTGTCTCACTGAGCAATAAAAATTTGGGGGTCAGTCATGGTCGTAAGTCAAGGACTATCTGCACCTGTAACGGGCTGCCTGTTACAACAAATGGCAGATGGTATTCTCCCTCCTCAAATGGACAAAGTGCTGAAGCCATGCAAAGCTTTCATGAACCAGTGAAACTGCGTTTTTAACATACAGCCTGTTTTCCATGATTTTTAGCAATTCCTGAAAACATTGTATGGCTTCAATGCTTCATTGGCTCGAGAAAGAAGAAAGCAATCTGCCATTTTTAATAATAGGTAGACGATTTGTATCTAGGTGTTGTCCTTAAGTCAGATGTTCTTAACCCTGGACTCCCTGTATTTCAGTCCTGTAAAACAGCAGCCCCCAACCTTTTAGACACCAGGAACTGGTTCTGTGGAGGGTGGTTTTTCTGAGGACCAGAGGTGTGTGGGTTCAAGTGCTGCCTTGAATCCCGTGTGTGCATGGATGGGGGTTCAGATAGGGCTTGCGCAGACTGGTTCCCGGCAGACTGTAAACCGGTGCTGGGCCACGGCCCGGGGGTTGGGGACTTCTGCGGTAAAATTATGGGCTTCAGATACAATATTACTGAAAATAATAAAGTTACTAGAAAATTATGACTTACAGCATTCAATGGGATTGGATGCAACTTGCAAAGAAACTATCCGGCCACTGGATTCAGGGATGTGCACGCGGAACACCAATCGCACACGGGTGTTCTTTCGGCCAATATCTGTTTCTCCTTTCCGTAATTCAATGTCTGCATTCCTCAGCTTGAGAATTCCTGCACAGTCAATGCTATGAAACAAACAAATAACTGAATAATTCTTGTCCAGTGACACCAGTACTTTTACCCCAACTACATTTGCAAGCTAACCACTCCCCACACCTGAAATTAATGTCTCTTTTTGTTTCTCTGATTATGACTACAGATTTGGCTTGGCTTTTTTATGGAATTTCATCAAGGGGCTGGCTGATTTTTTTTATTTTCCCTGAAGGAAAATGGACCATTGTACCTCTGCAAGACTATGAATTTCATCTTACCTCTGTTAACTTACAACCATGTCAGTCAAACAATGGTTCCAAAGAAGGAAATGCAAGTAATTCCAGATGGCTTATTCATGAAATACTTTATGTAGTCCTAATCTGGAAATCAGATGATACTAATGGACCACTCCAATAGTGCTGGCTGATACAAACATTCCTAAATCTACAACTCTCCATTATTCTATGGAATATATTTCAGTGATTTTTCAGTCTTAAGCATCTGACAATATCTTTCTTAACAATGTCATTGTCCCACCTGGAACAATGATTCACTGGACTCTTGATATTATCTGAACTTAGTTTTCTTACTATAGACATTTCTTTTCCTAGACAATCAAGAATCTACAGTTCAACCCTGAGCTATATTCTCCACATTCGTAACAACTTGAGCAAGTAGCATTACTATAGCCATACTGCTTCCATCCATCCATCCAAATGTGAATGCTCAGTATAGATACTAGACTCCAGAGCATTTTATGCTCATCTCAGTTCAAAATCTATGAGGGAAAAAAGTCAATTCAAATGATAATTTATGTTGGGAAGAGACTGATTAATTGAAAGATCCTCTTTTCCCAAGAACTGGCAAATCAGAACGTTCTCCTGGTGCAGAAATCAGAGCATCTAATGATCAGGGGTTTGCACTATAAAGACTCTTCAGTTATGGACCTTGAGAAATAGGAGTTTCCAGGAAAATTGACAGATTTTTCAAGACTGGTGAATTATGTGTCTATTCTGCTAACAAGATCTCCAGTAGAAAACAATCTTTCTCCTAATGTGTAACCTCTGTTAAGGGATTGAAGAGGACCCCTTCTGCACTCACTTGAAGTATTCTACTACTGAACTACAGCATATGCCATGGTAAAGCAAAGTGGGTTTACACTTGAGAGTTTTCTCTGCAAATTAAATACAGACATCTTTTACATTAATAATGTTAAGTTCTCCTTTGTTGCTATCTTACATTTTCTAATATAGAACCTTACATTGCTTTCATGTTGTTTTTTGGCTCCAGAGGGATTTCCAGCACCTTGGTGTTGCCAATTATTTTCTCAAAGCTGGTGGTAGTGACTGTTTTCCCTGTGATGCGATGGACTTGGTAAAAAGCATGTGGCTTAAGAATCCTCTCATCTGCTGTTCCAATGAAGATCTGAAGGCCCAAGGGCTTGTGGTCCATATAACCATGAAGCTGGCAAGAGAACAAACCATTTACACAATTATCTCAACGACAAATACAGCAAGAATTGAAATATTTTAGCAGTGTCAGATAAAGAACACAAAAAGCTTATAATTGCTCATCTTATTCCCTGTGGTAAGTGAAGATCACCTCAAGATAAACAGGCATTTTTTTTATAACTTAAGAAAGATATTTCATTTCCTTTCCTTCAGGCTAAAATAGTTTTGCAAGAAAAGAACATGGATAAATTAACTAATGAAGAATACTGCGTAATAATGTTATTATCTCTTGTGGCTTTATTTTGCAAGACTGAAATATGATTATTCCCGATTATTATTTTCCAAAAATGAGATATGTGATAGTTCTAATAGGAGCTGTTTTGAAGTTTCCAATCTTATTTTACTTGGTAAAATGTTTGCTCTTAGAATCTTCACAGTTTTCATAATTGGAATGTAACTTATTGAACTGTACAAAACCATCAACCATTTTTAAAATGTCTTTCAAAAAAATTATGTGTCTAAGCTCACTTAGACACCTCTGCACTAAATGTGTCAAAGCCATTGTGTCAAATGGAAAAGGAAAGTAGCTGTAACTTCCCTATTATGATAAAAAAAAACCCTGCATGTACACAGAATTATTAAAACTATTAAACATAAGTGCCTAAGCACTGGTAAAAGTGAAAGCATCAGTGAAATTGAGAGAGAGAGAGAGAGAAAAGCTAGGATTGCAATAATTAGTCAGTTAATGGCTACAGTTCATTAATCAAAGACATTTTGCTCATCTAAAATCAAAGCCAAAATCAGTCAGACCATAATCATTATAGATCTTGATTAGCCTTTCCAGTCTTCATTATGGGCTCTTTGTCACAACCACATTATTGAGCATGCCTCCAGTATTCAAGTCAGCAGAAAAGCAATTTTTTAAATTTATACTTTAAAACCACCCAGTAGCTGAAGCTCTCAGGGTAGATTAAAGTAAAATACACTAAAATACAATTTGAATAAAGACATATACAATAAGATGCAAAATAAAAAAAATCATATAAAACAGGCTGATCACTAACATGTGTTAATAGTGTTTCAGAATAATATTACTCCATGCTGGAGAATTCTGGAAATGCACACATCTTAAAGTTGCCAAGTCTGAGAAAACCTATATATAAAGATCACCTTTATTCTCTTTTTTTTCTGTGAACACAATGGCACACATTAAAAATGAAATTCTTAATGTTATATGTAGGGATCCTGTGTAAGGCCCCTACAAAAGGCCTATCTCTCCTGTAGCCCAAGCCAAAATGGTCACTGAAGGCACTATCCAGTGACCAGAGAGAAGAGGTCAGCATGGGGAAATAGCCAAATGAAAGCAGATGCAGTGCCAGACTGCACCATCACCCACGTCATCAGTGAGGCATCACAAAATATACAAATGACAAAACTTGAATCAAGAGAAAATGAAAAATACCTTAAAACTCAACTGCTGAAGTAATGTACACAAGCTGCCTCCTCAGTTGGCTAAGGATGAGATAAAAGTTGTATCGGAGGACATATTCTCTCAAAATAGTGAGTAGAGGAGTCTAGGGCAACTTGCCACAGCCATCTTGCTATGGCCAATCCAGCACAGTCATCTTGCCGCGGCCAACTCACCTTGGGACTACTTACCACGGCCAACTCGCCAAGGAACAATCCAAGTGGGATAACTCAACACAATAAATGTTATCCACCACTGTTTCTTCAACATTATTTCCATTTTTGTCAATGGAAATAATGCCAAAGAAATAGTGGCATATAATATTTATTGCGTTAAGTTATCCTACGTGGATTGTCCTGCAGTGAGTTCACCGCAGCGAGTTATCCCATTCCATGAGCAGACCCAGTATTTACAAGCCTTAAATCAGAATTAAAATATCCCCAAATATCACTGCCCAAAGACATTGGAAAGAGGCACTATATGAAGCAGAAGTTGAATTCTCATAAACAAGTGCTGGGTTGTCACCTGAAAAATTGAATCTCTCGATTGTTTTTCTGAGGAAAATCGTTGCTCCTTTTTCCTCTCTGACAAAATGATAACAACAGCAAACCCCTTCCAAGACAGGACGTCTAGAATCTTTCTTATAATGCAAGGAAAAACTTCAAAGCTTACTCTGAAGGCTTAATTTCAAATGGTAAGGCATCAACTGAATGCTTAGCCAAAGTTTTTGGTAGTTTACATTTCCAGTTTACAGAGCATTTCCTGCTTTTCAATAGCTGGAAATAATCTAGTAGTTAAAGAAATAATCTGTAATTATGATTAGATCAAATCCAAGGAAATGTGCGTGTGGGTGTGTAATTTATCATGAGGGTGTACAGTATATAAATACAATACACACATACACCATATCTATGTCCAGAGAAGAGATGTTTATATTAGTAAATAAAGTAAATATGTAAATAAAATTTGTGCATAGAAAAAGTAGTTGCAGCTTATAACGCGAGAAAATAAAAGTGCAGTAAAAAGGAATTGAACATAGCATTACAGTTCCAAAACCTAGTCACAAATCAAGCCACCAAACACCCCATTCAATCACAGTTTTTCATCTTGTTTTTTCCCTTCCAGAGAATTCAAAAACAGACTCAGAGTAGCGATGCATGTGTCTAGCACCCGACAGTATATATTTCAAAATTTAGGTAATGTGTTCAATTTCAATGTCAAGTTATGGAGACCCAGCAAGGAATATACCTTGTGCTTTCTGAGACAGGCTCCATTCAAAACCACACATACAAACAAATGCAACTCCATACTAAAGGCTGATGCACATGTTTGTCCAACAATAATAGGTGCAATAGCTCAGCAGCTAGAGATGCTGAGCTTGTCAGTTGGAAAGCTGACAGCCTGGATTCAAGATCCGAGTGCTGCATGATGAGGTGAGCTCCCATTACTTGTCCCAGGTCCTGCCCACCTAAAAGTTCGTAAGCATGCAAATGCAAGTAGGCAGAGGCGTAGCGTGGGGGGTGCAGGGGGGGCTGGCCGCACCGGGCGCAACATCTGGGGGGGCGCGCTCGCACTTGCAGCTCTCTGCCCCTGCCTGGCTCACTCACTCTCTCTGCAGTGCTGGCTGTGCGAATCCGATCCGATCCGCCGGGTCGCCGACGCCGCCCACTGTGGAGGGGGGCGCAAATTACTTGCCCCAGGTGCTGACAACCCACGCTACGCCACTGCAAGTAGGTAAATATGTAACACTTCGGTGGGATGCTAACAGCGTTCCATGTGTCTTGGCGTATATGTAGTCATGCTGGACACATGACCGTGGATGTGTCTTCAGACAATGCTGGCCCCCTCAACTAAGAAATAGAGATGAGCACTGCCCCTAGAGTCAGACATGACTTGAAAGAGAAAACCTTTAGTTTTACCTTTAGTATGCAACACCTCTGGCTAACTATTTGGATCTCAATGCTCAGTAAAGTCTAGTGCAGACATGTCAAACTCGCAACGTCACGTGACATTGTGCAACGTATTGGCACTGTTTTGCCATTGCCGGCAATGGGGTGGGTGCGGCTTCTGCGTGATGCGTCCAGCCCACGGGCTGGCAGATTGATACCCCTGGTATCCTGACAGATTCCAAAATGATTGCTTTCTCTCTCCCTTGGCCTTGATCTTGATCAGCAGAAGCCACCTTTCCACAAAGTCCCTGATATGACATTACTCTGCAATAGTGTGTGCAGCTGCTCTTGTTGACAAACCCAACTGCTTTATTCAACAACCTCTCCCTCCTGCTTTTCAGTACACCATGTTGGTTTGACAGCACAGAACAGACTGACAGGAGACCTTCTTCTAAGATTTCAAATTTGAAGCCAGCCTTGTAAATCAAGGTTACATAGAGCTGCTGTGACATTTTTTACTTGAGTGCAACAACTTTTGCTGTAGATCTACTATGAAATACAGTCACAATTTGCATGTTCTGTAGAAAAGGTTTGAGAGGATGCACAAGTAACTTGTGCTTCCTGTCTCTCCCAGGTTTTGAGAAATGGCAGGAAATGCTCGCACCCATCCTTTGCGTGAAGCTCAGAAACAGAGGAAGAGGAAGCACAGGTCAATCACAGAAAAAGGTACATCATTATGGACCTAAATATTGTCTCTCTCCAAGTACAATCCCAGTACAGGAAAAGTACAATCCCCTTTGGGAGAAGCTGAGGTTGTCTAGGAGTGGGGTCTCTTATTTAAAATGTCACTTTCAGGTTGAGTGAATTTGCAAGATGTGCAACCTTAAAAGCCGTTGTGACAAACAAAAAGCCAAACCTACACAAACAGACAAACAAAACAACAGAACATTAGGAAGAAGTTTAACCTTTCCTTAATATGAAGCTATGATCCTGGGAAAGCAGAGTGGAAATTTATTCTTAAAGCTACAAAACAGCTACAACTTTTTGAAAGCTTATAATAGTTGTGTAGAGACTGTCCCAAGATTTCTAGGCCTGCAGTCGGGCAGTGATGTTTCTTGTGCATGCATAGCTATTCCCAGAAGATCACAGGAGGACCTCAAAACAGCCACACCAAGCTTCTGAGCAGTTGTGGCTACTTCAGAAGTGGATGCAAGCAAAGTACCTCCATGGAATGATTTACATAGTCCTAATAAATATATACATATCTTTGATCTACCTGGATAACTGTATGCTTAAGGTAGTGTAAATCACATTTAACGTCTCCTTCTCTAAGGAATTCAGAATAGCTCATTCAGTCCCACCTCTTGCTGATGTTATTAATCTTCTAATTGCCTCCCTCAAAATTTCTTAAAAAGCCTTTCAACAAAGATCTGAATGATAGAAGTGTGTGGGAAGGGGGCAAATGATATGCTAGCAGAGACATCAAATGTCAGAAAGCCACCTCCTAGCCTTGGAAGTACAGAAGCCATACAAAACCTGACATTGTCTGACCAAGAATGGAGACATTCTTAGCTCTGAGGGAGTTAAAACATAGGGACTGCCTTTTGATATATTTTCTATCTATCTCGAAATACTTTTTTCCCTTTAAACTCTCTG